ATTCCACCAGAGAACCTGTAACAAATCTTTGTACCTACTTGTTCATGTATCTCTGACCTTCCCTGGCCTGGGAGCACCTTGAGCCCGGCAGCATTTCAATGCATTCTTATAGCCCAGGGCTCAGCACTGTGTGCTGAATGAATACATCAATCAATCAATCAATCAGCCCATCAGGATTGAGCTTTGGCTATTTTTTCTGTCAGGATGTCTATTGGAATTAAGGCATTTATAAATATTTTAAAAAATGCAAAAAAACTTTGTTATTTTGTAATTTTGTTTTCTTGGATGCTTTGTTCTGCCCATCGGTTTAGGTTGGCAACTTGAATGGGCAATTAGCGTGACAGCCCCAGTAATTACTCCCATAATCTGCAATCCCTAAGTGGTGGGAAATAGAGGCCTTGGGTAGACTTTGAGTATATTCCCTTATTAGGAAATCACAGTGATTTCATGGAAGTCACAAAGGAAATGTTTTTACTGAGAAATCACAAGCTGTAACTAATGAGGAAAGGAAGAAAAACACATATCTTTAAATCCCGCATACTAACCCTATGCCTAACAATGACATTGTGCATTCAGGAAATTCTAAGCTTATACTTGGCCTTGTTGAAAAGAGAGATGTTAATTTGCCGGAACCCACTGTGTATAAAGACACGTCTGACATGGTAAAGGCTTCCAGCACTGCGGCTCTGTCATTGTCAGGGACACTTACTCATGTATTCCCCACAAGGGGCAGGTAACTTTCACCTGTTGAGCAAAAATGAAAACGGAGACTCTGATGTGTCGAGTGACTGTTGGAGAGCTTGCAGTGATGAGGCGAGAGCCGGGTTGTGAGCCCAGGTCTGTCCAAGCCCCACTGCTCCAGAGTTGTGCCCCTTGGGGACGTGCAGACTGTGAGTTATAATCCAAAATAAATCAACCTCTAGGTTAGTATAAAATGATTTCCATCATTACTGAAAAATATGATAGTAGCTCCTTGACTGTCTTTGAAAATCCCTTCAATAAGTCCTTCAATAAAATATTTTTATGTGAAGGGAAAAAGAAGTGAAATAAAGCTTAAGACACAAACTACTCTGTTTCTGGTCCTGGATTTGATGACAAATTCACTGTTTGACCTCGAAGGAGTCATTTTATCAGACTTGGTCCCAGTCAAATGAAGTGTTTGGGCTTGTTAACCTCAAAAGTACACCCATCTCTATGGGCCCCTCGGTCAGTTAAGTGTCCAACTCATGATCTCAGCTCAGGTCTTGATCTCAGGGTCATGAGTTCAAGCCCCACATTGGGCTCAGTGTTGGGTGTGGAGCCTACTTAAAAAAAAAAAAATTCTGTACCCATCTCTAACTTATGGGAAGGCAGATGGCAAAACTTAAAAAAAAAAAGAAAAAAAGATTTAGGATATCCTCTTAATGACCAATTCTTAGACTAGGCAGGATCCTCAGCAAGGTTGCTGGCAAGTACTAACAGCCAGAACCCACCAATATTCACTTTTAAATAAGTAAATGAATTAAGGAATCGGTTGTCCATTCATTGCATTTTTGCTTGGGTTTGAATTTTTCAAGAAATTTGTCTTCTTGTGGATGCTGTGTACATATCCAATTTGCCTTAGCCTCTACCGACGAGTGGGCAACGTAAATTGCCCGTATCAGGACAACATTAGAACAAAGCAAGAGAAGTTGTACAAAAGGCAGCAGAATCAACAGCACATATCAGTGGGTGACATCTCAGCTCAGCTGAGGCAGGAGGGTGAGTGTCCACAGGGCTCTTATGAGTCACTGACTCCATGAGAGTTGTTATCTTCTCGGTACATATTTTGTCTCCAATCAAATCTCTTCTTCCTTTAAAGGCGAGAATTTGGCAAATGTTCTCTTTTTTTCTTGACAAACACAAAGGAGACGGGAATCCAAATGGTCCTGGACTTTAGCGGAGAGTCTTTTGAATGGTCTTATACAGACCCCGACGTCATGTTTCAATTTCCCCCTCACCACTGTGCACCATATTTTCTTTTTATTGGGAAAAGCAAGCTGGTTATGTCTATAATGCATACCTCTGTGGTCTCAGTTACATACTCAACAGCTCTCTCTGGTCCTAGGTTTTGATAATAATTTCTTCAATTCCTATGAATTCAATGAATTTATATTTAAGCAAGATTTGTGGGTCAAGAGCTTTGTCCAGTTTATTCAGGCAACATATTCCAAATGGCAGGCTGTTCTGGGTACTGGAGATACACCGACGAACAAACACACAATCCCTCACCCTTGAGGATTTCTCCAGCCAAGAAGGAAGACAAGTATGTAAAAAGCAAATGTTGTTTAACGTGAAACGTGCTATCATAAAAATCATGCATGGCACAGTGAGCCCTAAGGGGAGGGCCCCCTACTTCGGAATGAGGGAGGGTTGAGTCAGCATAGACTAAATTGCTTCATGATAGCAAACAACCCTAAAATCTTAGCAGCTGACGATAAACCTGAATTTATCACTCGCTTCACATGGCAATCACAGACCGATTCAGGATTGACTCCACACCGTCTTTATTCCAGAATCCAGGCTGATGGTGCATTCCCCGCCTGGAACGTATGGATCCCCTGCCACGGGACATGTGGTCGAAGGGCACAGTGGATCGGAAGTGCTGCTTGTCGCTTCCTGCTACATTTTATTTTTTTTTTAATTTTTTTTTTCAACATTTATTTATTTTTGGGACAGAGAGAGATAGAGCATGAACGGGGGAGGGGCAGAGAGAGAGGGAGACACAGAATCGGAAACAGGCTCCAGGCTCCGAGCCATCAGCCCAGAGCCCGACGCGGGGCTCGAACTCACGGACCGCGAGATCGTGACCTGGCTGAAGTCGGACGCTCAACCAACTGCGCCACCCAGGCGCCCCCTGCTACATTTTAAAGCAAGTCACATGGCCATGACTGACATCCAGGCCTGGGTTCGCCAACTGCTCTACCCAGAAGGACCCCGTAAGGAATGGCGGTGAATGTTTTGGAAAATGATAGCACCTACCACGGGGGAAGAGGTCTGTTATTTATTGTGGCCAGAGCATAAGGGAAGATAGAGGGTTCGTGAGAAATGAGACTGGATATTAAGGCAGAAAATGGATAATGGAGGACTTCGTGGTACAGAGAAGCTTGGACCAGGCGAAATCAGAAAACTGGTGAGGGAGGTCAAATTTCTAGCTTAAATACAGCATCCTGTCTGTGTTGTGGAAAATGGTGTGTAGGCAGCACACTGCTGGCAGGAGCAGAGGAAGAGAACACTGCTGGAAAGTTGATAGAGGTGTGAGCTCAGGACAGAAGATGGAGATGGAAGAGCAAAGAGGGGAATGAGAGCTCTAAGGGGCGGCTTTGCCCACACCGGGCATGGACCAGACCCATGGATAGAACAAAATTGCTTCCTTTCTCCATGAAATGATATGTTGATACTGACGAAATGTCTGCTTTGTTTGCAAAATGCAGAAGAGAGAGAGGCAAGGAATACTCCGTGTCAGGCCCTGTGAGGTCCCAGAAGATCTGAAGAGTCTTTGACGCATTGAAGCTCTCACAGGTGCAGTATTGACCAAGAGAGATGAGAAACAAAAGGCAGACTTTCCCTGTGATCCAAGTGTGGCCAAAGGATTGGCCGGCTTGTTTGCACAGCGCCTCACAATTCACTGGATGGGACTGAGAAAGCCGGGGGCAGGGGGTGGGGGGTGGCAGGAACTCTGGTGGGGAGAGGCACCTGCAATTCGGTCCCAGTCGGACTACTTACAAAAGAGAAGACCTTGGACAATTTACTACATTTCTTTGAGCCAGTTTCCTCGTCTAAAAGGAAGGAAAGAGAGGGGGAGGGAAGGAAGGAAATAAAGAAGAAAGGAAGGTATGGAAGTCAAGGTTCTCCAGGGAACCAGGCCAGCAGGTGACAGAGATTTGTTTGAAGGAATTGGCTCTCGTGATTATGGACTCTTGGCAAGTCTGCAACATGATGGGGCAGGCCTGCAGGCGGGACACTCAGGGAAGAGTTGACATCGGAACTTCAAAGGCAATTGGCTGGCACAATTCCTTCTCGTTCAAGGGAGATTCTTTTGCTCGGGTCAAGCCTTCAACGGATTGGCTAAGGCCAGTCGACCTCACGGAGGGCAATCTGCTTCAATCCAAGGGCAACCATTTAAAGGTTAATCTCATCCCCCAAAAACACCTTCACAGAAACATCCAGAACCATGTTTGACCAAAAACCCGGGCTCTGTGGCCCAGCCAAGTTGGCACATCAAATTAACCTTCACAGAAGAGAAAGGAAAAGAAAGAAAGAGAAGAGAAAGGAAAAGAAGAAAAAAAAAAAAAAAAAAAAGAACGTGCTAGCCTGTGAAAGGCCCAGGACCTGGTAGCAGCTCACCAAAATGATGCTCATTTTATTATTTTTATTATCATTAAATCATTTTTATCTGTTCATCCATCCTTTGTTTACAGAGGGAGAAACGGAGACGGGGACATGCGACACGCAGTTCTGTGTCCTGTTGAGGGCATTCAGTCACTGGATATGTGTGGCCATTTATCAGACTGGGGGTAATTCTGAGATGGGCAGAATACCCTGGTTTTGTACGTAACCGACTGAACTCCCCATTCAGCAAGACCAATCAGAATGATCAATTGAGAGTACAATTGAATTCCTTTGGAGCTAACAGAAACAAAAGCTGACCTAGTGTATATTGTCGAGTGGGGCTCCAGAGATTCAATCTCCGCTTATGAGGAGCTAAGATGGCCAACGGGCTTTGTTTCACGTGGACGTCATCAATTCATTTGCTGATTTAACAGGATGTGATAAACATGTTGTATCCTATATGCCTAGCACAGCACAGGGCTTTGAAGGGACCCGGAGAAGTAGGACACACAACGTGTATTGAATCCTTACGTCCCTGCCATCCTATTTATGTGTATGACCTAATTTTACCCTCGTTTCATTTTAAGCTGTATAAACCTTAGGGAGGTACCAGCCTTCCTGGTTTGTCTTTGTTCTAAATGTTGAAGAGTTTGTAAGAGGGGCAGGGTGCCGCAGTCCTGCCTCACGGTCGCAGCGATGAGAAGCTGAAACATCGCAGAAGAGTCGAATTGCTACCTTGGACGAGCAGTGTCGAGTGGGAGGTGCGGGCAGGTCAGAGGACCAGGCACCCGATGGGGAGAAGGTGACTGGGGGCGGCATCATAAAGGTCCACAAAGACAGATCAATGGCGATGAGCCCCTCTGGAGGGCCGGAGGGTCCGGAGGAAGCCCAAGTCCCACAGCTCATCAGTAGCAAGGTCTGATCAGAACGTCTGCAGACCCCGGTGTGATGTGCTGCCCTGACCTCTGTCCTAGGACCCCCCCTCCCCTAGAGCTCTGCCCTAGAGCTGAACAATGAAGGCAGCGGGGCCGTACCGTGGTGTAAGAATAAGCTTGGAGTCGGGAAAAGGAAACAAGACCACGGGGTCCCACCTCTGCGATGCCTCGAGGGTGAGCTCTCAGGTAAGCGACCTGCCCGGCCTCCGAAATGGGAATAAGGGCCGGGCTTCGCAGGGCTCGCCCAAGGGAGTGATGGATGTGACTGTACAGAAGGTGCCAGAGCCCGGCACAGGGCAGGTTCTCCAGATGGGGTGCTTCTGCTTCGTACCTTCTCACCCCGCCTAGACGCGGCACACTTAGGGGGCTGTGGAAATGAAACTTCTGCTGTACCCAGAATTCAGCTATCATTGTTGGACACAGCCACGCTCTTTTGATCTGAGATTGACAAAGAGGCTATTCTTAGGGCTAATTACGGAACACATCGGGCGAGTGCCCCTCTCCCACCCACGCACAGCTATTGGAGCTGTCGTGTGCAGTCCGGCCCGGCTGGCCACGTGGCCTCAAACCTCTGGTACCTGTCGGCAGCAGTTGCCCATAGAAACAGCAGGGGGTGGGGGAAGTGTGAGTTAGGAAGTTACCAACGGTGTTGTGTTGTTTGTCAATTATTTGTCTGCATGGGTACGTTCGTGTGAGGGTGTCTGCAGTCAGAAGTGAGGGGAGTCACGCGGAGGTAAGTGGACAGGTGCTTCCTGTCTGCGTTCCTTGTGATGCAGGATTTCTTTTGAAAAAGAGGCTAGGTGGGAAAAATACTCATGCCCACTTTTTTGTGTGTGTGTGCAAATATATATGTAACCAGTGGGGACTCCCGCTTCCTCCTACTCTGCATCATTCGACTCCCTTCCGTGGGCAGGGGGATGGTGACGGTTCCGTGATTCTCTGGGGCTTCTGCACGCTGAATCTGGAGAGAAGCGTGGCTGAAGCACGTGATAGAACAGGCCATGGTATCGCACAGAAACTTCCACCGTGGGGAGTCAAAAACATCTACTGCAGACCCCAGGCTGCTTGCAGCAGGAGTTGGGGCGGATCAGGCCGCGTAAGGAACTGGCAACGAGGTGCTTGGTATCCTCAGGCCGCCCCGCCTTCAAGCCTGGGGATTTACCGGGCGCTTCTCTCGGCAGCGTGATTTGGGGCACTCATGAGCCTGCAGGTGTCTCAGGGCTCTGGACCTTTATCCTTCAGGTGACCATAGCTTTCAGCCTGCCAGGCGGCCGCAAGGAACCACTGCTGTGTAGAAAGTTCCCAGCACAATGCCTGGCTTCGTGTGGCACCCAACAAATGGACCCTTTGTCCCTTCCGGGGAGCACTCTGGAATGGAGCGGCGAAAAGGAGCTGCGGGACGGAGAACAATTCTCAGCCCACCTTTCTCGCCTGCTTACGTGTGTGGCTGCACGAGCTGCGTCCGAGATTCTGCCACATGCCGGCTGCACGAAGATGTAGGTGAGTCCCTGGACCTCCCGAGCTGTCCTCTCCTGCTTGGTGAATGGAGGTAAAGGGTGCCCACCCCTGAAGGCTGGAGCTTCCTGAGTACCGGCCGTGATGCCACGTGAAGCTCACTGCCCCGCATCACGGTGACCAGGTTTGGTCCTCTCGTCAGAACCAGCCTTCCTAAGAGCACAGTACGATAGGACAAGGAATAGAGGTTTGGGATTTTGTGACTATGGTGTGAAAAGTCTTTTAAATGTTGTTTTCCAACCTAAATAAAAGTATCCTATGAAGGGAGAGCTGGGTCGGGGTGGGTGATACAGCCACGGTGGGGGGAGTTTTTTGATGGTGGAACAATTAAGGGAGAAAGAAATCTGAGATGAGAGAATCTGAATAATACTCTTGCCTAGAAATCTTCATTTTCTCCAGTGCCCCAAAGAACTTCATCTGTGCCTCAGTTTCTTTTTGGTTTATTATTTTTAATGAAGGTATTTTCCTTCTTTTTTTAAAAAAAAATAATGTTTATTTATTTTTGAAGGAGACGGAGGCAGAGCGTGAGCGGAGGAGGGGCAGAAAGAGAGGGAGCCACAGAACCCGAAATGGGCTCCAGACTCCGAGCTGTCAGCACAGAGCCCAGTGCGGGGCTCGAACTCACAAATGATGAGATCACGGCCTGAGCCAAAGTCAGACACTTAGCCGACTGAGCCACCCAGGTGCCCCAAGGTATTTTTTCTTAACCATCAATTAATGTTTGGTTATTTTTATTAGAAAGTAAAGTAAAGGGGCGCCTGGGTGGCGCAGTCGGTTGAGCGTCCGACTTCAGCCAGGTCACGATCTCGCGGTCCGTGAGTTCGAGCCCCGCGTCAGGCTCTGGGCTGATGGCTCAGAGCCTGGAGCCTGTTTCCGATTCTGTGTCTCCCTCTCTCTCTGCCCCTCCCCCGTTCATGCTCTGTCTCTCTCTGTCCCAAAAATAAATAAAAAAAAAAAAGAAAGTAAAGTAAAAAGAAGTTTCTAAAAGCCTATACAATGTCACCATCTGAATATTCATCTTGCCATGAGTATATCTTCAAGTTTGTATCTCAAGCAGTGTCCTAAACATATTATTCAATAACTGTCATTTTATTAATTTCCAATGTAGCTTCACATTTTTTTTACTATTTTGTTTGAAAATGTCTTTGTATTTCTTTGACTTTTCGTTGAAATGTCTCCTGACGCCTTTCATTTGATCCTTATTGTTTTGATATGTTTTCCCATTGGCTTTTTTGATTTGAATTTTAATGCTTAGGATATGCAAAATATTTTAATTTGTATATATTCAAATCTGTTTTCTTTGTGATTTTTTCCCCCATTGCTATGGAAACCCTTCCCAGTCCAGGAACAATTCAATTAAATAGTCAATTAGATTATAACTTTGCCCTGGATTTAATTTTTAAGTCCAACAGGAATGTGTTCTAGCATATGACCTGAGGTAAGGATTCATTGTAACCTTTAAAAACATTCTTAGCCAAATTGAGAAGCGTATTTTAATGAAGAATTTACCCCTCCTTCTTTTATTACGTATCCTAATTACACATTAGATTCTTATCTGCAGTAGGAGTCGTTTGACTGATGTTTTCTGTGCCATACTTTCTTTTGCCAATTTTTGTGCAGCTATAATACTCTTAATTTTGTGGCTGTATAGGAAATTGCGACATATGATCAACTCAAGTCGTGCATCTTATTTTATTCTTCAATTTCTTATCGACTCCTGTTTGTTTGCCATCAAGATGAAATTCAGGAACATTCTGTCTTTTACAAATTCTACAGCTTGATAATAATTGTGTCAAGTTTGTAAATTAAGCTGGAAAAGGCTGAATTTTTGCCGTGCAACTTACTTATTATATTGTGCTGTCTCCACCAGAATCAGATCTCCTGTCTCATACGAGGAGCAATATCCATTCCTGATATTTCTTCCCAAATCAGCGCTCAGGGCCTAACCCAAGGGCTTGCACACAGTAAGCATTCATTACCATTGAGATAACTCAGAGCTCCAGGAATAATGTGTTTGCTTTTTTTTTTTTTTTTTGCAGTAATTTTGCTAGAATCCATATATTCTAGGATCTTCTGACCTCAATCCATGACAATTTCTAATGTATACTTACCCACCTTTTTTAGTGTGAGTTGATCCGATCGTATTTATCCTAAGGAAAAAATGTGAACGTGTTGAAGTTTTTAGAAATTTACCACTTTCCGGAAGCATCTCTGTGCCTGCAGAGTGTATGTACAAACAGCACATAGCACATTGCATGTTTAAAAGCATTCACTGAGGTTCCATACTATATATATATATATATCATAGAATATATAATATGGAATATATACTATATATATTATATATGTATTGTGTGTATATATGTGGACTAGTGGTGAGTATGAATGTAATTTCAGAACAAAAGTTCAACATAAATTATATGTTTCTGAGCCCAAAGATTCAGGAACTGACACAGGAATTCTTACCCCAGCATTCCAAACGCCAATGGTGTCCAACCATCTAGATGACTAAGCTGGTAACATCACCTTAAGCAAGAGCTGCACACTGCATCTGTCTCCCTCTGGACCTGTTTCCCCAGTGGGAACTGTAGAGACTGGAACCAAAGATCACTGAGGGACCTCAGGCCGGCTAGTTCTCGGGAGCTATTTCCTCACCTGTGAATGAATTTAATCTCTCAGGGTCTCCCAGCACTGGCATCGAGATTATATCCAAAGGTGGGTGCGGCCCTTGGGAGCACTCGCCATCCCCAGTCCTGGTGGTGCCTGACAGCGGAGACAAAGAGAGCCACCGAGTCTGCTGAACCCAATGCCACGACAGTCCGCACAACTCAGTCACCTCAGGTCACCGTGCAAAACCCAAAACAATTTGAAATCGCTTTTTTTCATAGAGCTCTAAGAGAGCTCTTGGACTGACATTGTATTTTCCTTTCAAAATTAAAAAAAAAAAGTGTTACAGGAAAAATAAAAGTAAATGACAACAGCCAAATATCTTATGATTGTCAAGAAAATGAAGAAGGAACCGTGCACCTGACATGGAGTCCTCCTGGTTGCCTTGATCTTCCGGAAGCCAGTCGTCAGCCCCCGGCTCCTATGAACTGGCCTCTTCTGGCAACTCCTTTTGGAGCCCATGCCTGTTACAAAAACTCAGGGACCAGGGCATGTTCTCACTCCTCTCCTATCTCCTATCTCCTCTCTTCCTCTTGCCCAACCCCCAGCTCTACCATAAGTACACGGAAGGGAGAGCCCATATAAAATGAGTCTGTCATGCCAAATGCCGTGAATAGTGTCTTCCCATAGGAGACCATGAAAAATACATTTTGCACCAGGAGGAAATGCTTTATAATTTGCTATTCAATGGCTAGCTTTCTTCCGGATAGGAAGGAAGGAACAAAGGAAACATTTCCAGAAAAGAAAAAGAATGGGAAACTGGAAAGAACAAGGAGACCAGGCAGACCTGGGTGTGAATTCTGACTTCACTACGTAGCCGCAGTGAATCATTTAACCTCTCTGAACGTCAGTTTCCTCATCAAGACACAAGGCTGATGGTCATCCCCAGCCCAGGGGCAGCTGTTTATCGCACAAATACTACGGTAAAGGGCCTAGCGGAGGCGTGTAGCACCAAGGGTGCTCAGGGACACGTCCCGCCTTTGCTCACTTTCACGCCCAGCGTGCTCAGAGATGGTGTTCTGCTGCAGAGAATACATTTTCTAAATTTTCATTTTTTAGAGAAAGAGAGCATACACTGGGGAAAGGGGCAGAAGGAGGGACAGAGATAGAATCCTAAGCAGGCTCCACGGTCATGGCAGAGCCCAACATGCTGTTCGTTCCCACAACCCTGGGATCATGACCTGAGCCAAAATCAAGATCTGGACGCTCAAACCACTGAGCCACCCAGGCACCCCGAGAATGCATTTTCAGAACTCAGCTGGTGCTTGGCATTCGTAACATCCCCCACTAATGGAGGCCACCCTGTGGGGTGTGAACTGCTTTCGTTTGCTTCTCTGTCACCAGAAGGTTGATAACAAACCCACTGGAATAGACAGTCTATGGAGATGTCCTCCTGGAATTTGGTCAACGGCTGTGAACTAGGCACCAATACGTCGGCCCTGGGATGAACTTGCCCTGTGGGCTCTCAGCTTTCCTGCAGACCCTGAGATACCCGGGTCAGCCCTCCGCGCCCACACCCTGCCACCTTTGGCTTCAGGGACCCTGTGTATTGCCTTTTGTCTAACCTCTGAATCTACATGGGTGAAGGGGATGCACACGCTGTCCTTCCTCTCTCCCCCTGCCCTCCCTTTCTGCCTCAAGCACTTACTGAGCACCTCCTCTGCATGGTCCCTGTGTAGGCAATGTGGAAGCAGGGGTGAATTAGCCCCAGTCCTGGACCTCAAGGCAGACTGGCCTTTGAGATGTAAGGATTTGAAGCATGTGATGATGACATACAATTCAAAGTGACGCGGAGTATAGCCTCTTTGGGAACAGAGGTAGAGTGATCACTTGTACCTGGAAGTTTTTGGAAAGGACAATGCTGAATTTACCAGAAGGCAGGGCGAGAGAGAGAAGGTCATGTCAGGCAGAGCGTATGATATGTCTAAGTGCACAGAAAACTTGTCCGTAAAGAGGCAATTATGGTGAAAGCATGTTGAAAAAGGTTTTCGTTCTCAGAAGAAGATCAAGTTATCTTCATAAATGACCAAGTAGCTGTATAATCATAGTACCTATTAAGTTATCATCATCTTTACGTGCGTTTACATTGAACCTTACACTTCATTCAAAATACTCTAAGGTATGAATCCTAATGTTGCAATCATGAACCAAGAGTTGTGGGTGGGAATTAGCGTCACCCCTTACCAGCCTCGTGGCCATCGCCAGCTTACCTCTCTGACTTCAGTTATTGACCCACTAAGTAGGAATAATACCATGGCCTCCCTTGCAGGGCCGCTGTCAAGGTCGCAGGTGGTGTACAGGTAGGGCAAAGCAGGTGGCTGGCTCACGAGGAGGCAGCTGTGTTCCTTTCTGTGCCGAACACTCACGTGGCACCAGCCGGACCATGCACCAACACCAATCTGGGGGACATATCAGGTTATGGTTTAAAGTTCTCCATCCAAATGCTGCCTGAGCTCTGTTCCTTATTATAGAACAGTCAATTACATCGCCTCCTACAGCAGCCCTGTTTCTCCGAGGAGATTACTCTTCAATTGATTTCACAGTCCTCCCTGGTATATAATCCCCCTGGCTACGACTGCCTGCGAGCTCTTATAAAGACATTCAATACCGCTATCAAATGAAATTATATCATTTATATCCAGAGCTGAAATATGCACTGTTTTTGGAGGTTAAAAAAAATGGATCCCCTGGAATAAAGCTATAATCAGCATGAACTGTGGCTTTTAATTGCCTGGGAAGGTGAGAAGCATTCTTGAAAGGGAAGCACTAGGCAGTAGCCATCATCCGTAGAAGCACATCCTCGTGCACAATAAGACAAAGAAGGGTGTGAGAATTATTCATGACTGCAAACACTGGAGTTTATGGTTAAAACCTCTTTTTCTTCTTTCT